TACAACAATATTCATCAACCAAGTATAAAGGATATTCCTCTGTGTCGACATATGCAACTTTCTCTTCTTTACCAAACCTAAATGTTCTGGCATTTTCAGCTTTTAAGTGTTCGACTTGGCGAACCCTGTCGACTAATTGTGCCATATCTCAAAGGTATTGAGTGTATAACTTCTTATTAATGGAATAGTATAGGCCTCCATCATCCATTTAGACCAATTGATGTTCAGGGCTTGATTAAATCATCTTTCTTTAATAAGTCTAAACCTGTTGAGGTAGTCATCAATCGACTCAGACATTTTTCGCCTGACATTGGAGAATTCTTTAAGACTTATCTTAGACTGGCCCATATAAAATTGTTCATGGAAAATTCTTCCCAGTTGGCTCCAAGTTAGTAAAGAACTAGGAGTGAGAGTTGTGAACCAGGTAAAAGCATTATTTGTCTAAGAATTTGGGAAATACTTCATTTTTAAAAATCCGTCATTGGCGATGTCACCAGCCTCGATTTCGAACCTGGATATGTGTTCGGTCGTTGAATCATTTTTGTTGACTTGGTAAAATTTTGAACTTTCCATCCTATGGGCAATTCTATTTGGCGAATATAGTCAGGTAAATAGAAAGTACAATTAGGCCTATGAAGGCCATCGTTAAGCCCACTCTATACTGAAACTTCTTCAACCACACACACAATATTTTTGTGTTTCTCTAAGTTGTTTTGACAGACATTTCTCAAAACACAATCAACATCTTGATTCCTAGGTACTACTACTAGTTTAGGATTACACTGACCAATGTAATCTTCCTCCTCCATGTAAGGAGTGGGTTCCTGTGGTCGAAATCCTGCTGACTGCCCTTGGTTCATTGGGTCTGCCACATGATTTGGTGCTTTGACTTACCTCGTGTTTAATACTTGAGGCATTGTTCAACTTTGCATTGGCGGAGCACCGAAGAAGTTAGCCATTCAACTCATTTGTTCAGCCAACAATTAATAACTTTGGTTATTCTTTGAAATCATAGGGTTAATTATATTCATTAACTCATGATTACTTTCGTTCATCTGTTGCCTCAAGGTCGTCATAAAAGTTGTATTTAGTGAAGGTGTTGTTTGGGGGGATATAACGTATCCCTCTTGGTCGACCAACATTATTTATGGTTGCAGCAAAGGCACTCTAATGGTTAAAATATGATATTGTAGTCATTATATTATCAGCATATGTCGAGGGGTTCAACTGAAGGTCATCATCGACTGTGACATGCCATATTGATAATATCTTGGAGGTGCCATCGAACCTAATTGAAAAAATGCCCTAGAAAGGTTAAAAGGGGAACCACCTTATTGTGGTGAGGACATAGCCCCTTGTACTAGCATCGACGAAACCGTTATGGTTGAGCCATTAATAACAGATGTCCTAACAAGGACAAAATCGCCGCGTTTTGGATTGTTATACCAACTGGTATGACATCTACATTTTTAGCGCTACTATGTGCTGGGTTAGAAGTGTTTGTGTTAGAACATGACATCTTAGACAATTCTTTCCCACTTCTCAAATTCATATATAAGCAAATATTAGTAGTACATTATGTAAAACAAAACTACAATACAGAGAAAACACAGTAATTGTAAGAACTATTTGAAAAGTTTAGCTCAAGATCCCACCGTGTGTGCCAATTTGTTTACCCTGATATTTGATAAACAATGTTAGTCTCTTATTAAAAGTTACTTTGCAAGATCGACTAGGGAATCTCAGAACAATGTGCTTGAAGTCTTTTTAAATAACGTAAAAATAGTAAGAGTGTGAGTGATTTCGACAGTGGTCAAGATCACGTTTTGAAAACGAAGTCAATTGAAAGTAAAGTTTTTACTGGAAAATAAAAGGTTCGACCGTAAAAAATACAGAAATGAAAAATAAAATTGAAAGTAAAGTTTTGCATAATATGGAAATTTGTTGATCAAACATACATTATACACTCTTGGGACTCATTTCACTTTTCGTGGGTACTCTGAGTTTTGTGTGAGTTTGATAGTAAATTTGGCACCCATAATTCTATCATAAAAACTACTATTTATACTAAAATATGAATAACTTCTAAGGGCGGGCTTTTCTCCTCTGAGCACCACGTTCTCTGAGACGTGCCTTTGTCTTGACAAAATGCTTCCACGTATCTTTCTAATGTAGACAAGTTCTCAAATGGTTATTTAACCATGTTTGTGTACTTCAACTCCCTTGGTCGAAACGACCGCCTTGGTTGAAACGCTTGTATTTGACATTTGGGGAAAAAGATCCGCAACTCCTTCTTCTGACTAGCTTTCAACAACTTAGTTCATCGTATACTTGTCGAACAGTCACCCGTATAAGCGTCGACCGCGCTCTTGAACACTACCCCAAAACTTTGTCCATATTTTCCTCATCTTCTTTTTATCTTAACTGAAATTTGAGACTTGTCGAGAATCCCATCTAACAACAATCAAACTTGTACAGACCATTATTCCCAAGGGAACCACTCAAAAGTACTCTAAAAGCACTTTAAAGGTATCATGGCATTTTATAAAACATTAGTTAGCATGAAATTCAAAGAAAAGTGAGTTATCTTTTACAAACTCAATAACACTGACAAGATTTTTAGTGATAGGGGAATCAGAAAAAGTTTGTTCAATTTTAGAGGTGTGTTGGAACATAAATTTGAGGGGAAAACTATAGTCCAAGGGAAGTAAGGGACAAACCTTGACCATTTACAATGTGGACATGGCCATTGTTATGGAGAGAGAGATATTCCATGAGGTTGGAGGCATCAGGAGTGACATGGTGTGTTGCTCTTGAGTCGGTGTATCAGGTTTGGTTGTGAGAAAGAGATGAGTCAATACCAGCAACTAGAGCTTGAGGTCTTGGCCCAATGTATTAAGAATTCAGAGAGGGACTCGTGTATCTTGATAGATTCATGTGCAAATGATTAGGTGCTCTATAACTTAAGTTTTGTTCGTACATTGAATTGGCTTATGCCATAACTGCTATAAGATTGAGGTGTGCCATAGTTTCTATAAGATGGGAGCACATGATCACCAATTGACATCAGCATGTCGACTATGGTACAAACACAAGCACCATGAATGTCATTGTAGGACGAAGCAAGAGAGAATGTCGTCAAAGATAACTCCCAACATAAATCTAATTGAATTATGTTATGAACAGTCGAGGGAGATGGAAAGAAATTGGGTAATAAATATAAGAAAAAAATTAAAAAGTGTATTGTGATTTATAAATAATAAAAAGTGGAACATTTTTTAAAACAATGCCACATCCCGCACATGTCATCGTCTCATTTTTTTTAAAAAAGTTAAGTAGGACAAGTCAACTACAAGTGCCAGTGATTGGGGAACCCAGCTGATTTTGCCGTCACTATTGCATGTTTGCATATTGCCCACTATTCAATAAACTTAGTCAAATTTTTTCCCTATCTCCAAGAAGCCTTCAAATCCCATGCAACCATAAAATCTGCAAGCTTCTTCACAACAACTAAATAGATATGCATAGAGATTAATAGTATGATATTTATCTCCACTCTTTTAAGTAAATATAATATTTATATCTGGTTTATATTCGTACGACTATCTGTTAAATAAATAATTTACAAATTTGTTTAACAACAAAGAAACGGTTGTTGAGGGCAGAAAAGGATAGCGATTGGAAATGATAAGGTTGCAGTTGGAGGCGGTAAGGTGACAGTGGAAACAAAGTGAAGTTTGTGAATTTCTGAATTGTAAGATTTGTGTCTTCAGGTAATTCTTTTTTTTTTTTTATCTTTTTCCTATTTTAATTTTATGTAAGAGAATAGCCACATGAAAGAATCTTAACGGTTTGAGAGATTAAACGGTAGAAAGCAACTCAAAGTCACTCTAACGTTCCCGCTAGAACGTTAGAGAATCCAGATCCATGTCTTCACAGTACTAATTTTTTTTAATAACAAATTTTTATTGATTAATTAGTAGGATATATTTTCACCCTTGTAAAGGCTTAAATCCTAAACCTCCAACTCCTTTTAATCCTTAACTTTCCACATTCCTTAACCTTAACTCTTCACATAGCACGTGGATCAAAGACAACATATCCATGAATATAAAGATTTCGATAAACTAGAATTTGAAACAGCCCTAACAGCCACCGAAGCCTTTTCATCAAAGACAAAATCCCAATACAACCCATTCACCTTGACTTATCAACCACCAAGGAAAATGAACTCTAAATTCAATCATCATGAAACAAGGTTTGATTGATCAACCAAAATAGAGCAAACTCATGAGTAAGACACCAAACAAGGGTTAAGCACTAATTAAGGTTTGAGCCATACATAATGCTCAAACCTTAAACAACCCTCAGCAAAATTAGATTGTCAGTCTTTTTGAGTCATGATGAAATCAGTCTAACAAAAATAATGGCTAGCCAGATTGCAACCCTAGCACTCAATGGGACTCCCCTTATAACTCAAGAAGACCGAGGAGGGACTCGATCCACTGGTCAGATCTAATTAACAATCCCTCTTATGCCTGAATGAAGAAAACATATATAGCCATGCGGGTATTTATAAACATTAAAATTATCTAACAACTAATATGTCATACAGCCAAAATACTCAATTTCAATTCTGACACACTGATAAATTTCATCATCATGCATATAATCAAGTTTTGGTAACACTGAACAGTTGAAGCACCGGATGAGTTTACTGCAGCATATACCTTTGGTCAGTATAAACTAAAAACTGACCTTGCTGTAAAGTATACGGTCACTAACTTAAAATTCAAAGGCAATTTTAAACCAAATTCCAGAAAATGAGCAAGAAAAGTACGAGACCAATAACATCCCAGGACAAATGGACAATAACTGTTCTTGATCACAGTGTATATTATGCTGATGAAGACTAGTATAGCTGAATGCTCCCTGGATTTAAATATTAATACTCCAGGAAACACTATCATCAAATCTTGAACACCATTCCATATGAACATCTAATAGTATGGCATGTAACGATTTGGCCTTCTATACCTTGGAGCCTTCCTGCATTTTGATTCAAAATAAAAGAAACCACAAAAAGTCAATTATAATTAAAAATTGAGTATATCACACAGAAATTAAAATGAGGCATGCAGCGTACCCATATCCGTAAGGGGAATACATGTAAGGAGGAGGAGCATAAGGCCTCCTGAAGCCGTACGCCATGTAAGGATTCAATCGCCTAGGACGGTATTGTTTCATTCCAGGAACATTGGTCCTCTTAGGCAGAACCTGAAAAACATGACATTCATATCATTAAAAAATACAAATTCACTATATTGATCTCATGGCTAATTTAAATCAAGGTTCACATGAAATTAAGAAAAGCACATACTTTCAATTGTCGGCCATGCAATTCAGTTTCGGTCAACAGGATAGCTTCTTGAACAGCTTCGGCTTCAACAAATTCCACATAAGCAAAACCTTTAGGCTGACCAAACTTGTCTGTCAGGATAGTGACCCTGTTCACTGTACCACATGACTGAAAGTGTTGCTGCACTTCCTCTGGTGTGCATGCATAATCAACCTGTAAACACATGAATTTCAAGGCATTTTGGTGCCAATGTGGGTTAGATATCATGTTAATCCAGATAAGCTCATACCTGATTCATTTATCATAAGAAAATAAACTAAACTCCATAATTACACATTATAGATCACATATATGCAAGACTCTCGTCTTGATAAAACTATTTTATCAACTAAACTTTTTTTACAAAAAAAAAAACAATCTTCAGGGATTCAAACCTTATCATCTATAACTTCAGCTGCAACCTTTATAGAAATGCAATTTATAAGTGTAAAATTTAAAACTATTTGCACATTTATGATCTTTTCGATATGGAATGTATAAAAAAAACTAGCAGAGAGATCAGTGATTAAATCAGAACTAACATTCTCTACCCTATAATGTCATTGTCAAGGCACCCTTTTAGAGCGTAAAATCTGTGCACGGCTATTACTCTAACTACAACTACAGCTACAACATGAATCTTCCTTTCCCAACTCTTCAAACATTAGAACAATTATTTATTGTATCAATTCTGACTCCATTATGGCGGAAGTTGATCCGTGTAGCCGACCCCACTTAGTGGGATAAGGCTTGGTTGTTGTTGGTGTATCAATCCTGACTCCATAGACCACCAACAATAAAATCAAACCAAGCCAATTCCAAAAAAATAAGAATGCTTAAGACAGCCTTCATTATGAATTATAGTCACTTTACAGGCTCCTCTCAAAGTCCATGGGCTTTCTCACACATCCTACTATTTACTGTCCCCCTCATAATAGTAATTTACAACAGCACAAATCTTATCAGATCTACAAGTGTCACCTAAAAGAATAAGGAAGACTGCACTACATAAATTGTACAAAATTTAGGAATCCAACATGTAATCAATAGTTAATGAAATCACTTGGTTAGAATTCCAACTGCTTTTGCAAAAAAAAATCATTTATGTAAGATATTACAGATAAGTAAAAAAGGAAAAGCCTAACAAAAAAATCAAGAAGCCCAATTCATAAACGTGAAAACAATTATGAGATAAAAACCAAAGGGAAGCAACAGCTTCATACCCTTTGGCAGTTTGGCCAAATGATACAACAGAGGCATCACTGACCTAATTGCAGTCAACAAAAGGACTCTGACTAAGATTGGATGCCCAAAACTTACAGAAGGTTCTTCCAAAAGAACCACAAGCTGTCTCCTCCAGTTGTTAAGTTGAATCATCTTTAACACATACTACCTTCAGCTGTACTAGTTATGCCATGCTCATAAGAGATGTCATTCACAGTTTCCTCAAAATGTTCTTTATTGTTCTTTTTTTTTTCTCATTTCTTTTTTTTCTCGTCTTTCTTTTTTCTTTTCTTTTTTCAACTTCATTCTATTTTTTCTTTTGTATTTTTTTTTCATATACTTTTTTCATAAACTTAAGTTTTTCTTCTCAATCTTTTCTACTTTCTTTTCTCTATTCTTTTCTTTTTAGTAACACTGTATCTTACTAAATTTCATAACAATATACAATATTTTCCCCCCTCTACTATGAGCCTAAAAAACAACAACGGCCCACTCACAAAATACAATGTTAGCATCCAGCGCTTATCACAGGACTTGAGTAATAACAACAACCCTGCGATCATAGTGACACATGTCAAACCCTGTCTATGAAGATGCTCCAAACAAAAATGTACAGTTTTAAATAAATTATAATAAAAGAATGCAATACCAAATGAATCTATACGATTCAGCCAGAAATCCATAGAAATAAGTCTGATTTTAGAAAAAATGTGTCATTCACTCCCAGCACTATTTTAGTGACAAAGGATGACCTCTCTTTTCACCACTTACAACTTTTTTTTAAAAGCATTTACCCTAATAGGGTAGGTGAACAAATTTGAACTAGCAACTTATCTGTATTGAAGTATTTTACACAAAGCTGTTAATAAAGAATAGATAAAGCTTTAAATGTGTTACTGAATTTATACAGACTCTTACAGTTGAGAGTAACAAGTTCTTAAGTAATCAGAATACAATAATTACTTGGAACAAGAAAATGGAATGTAGTTATTTTCAAGAAGTGCAAAAGCACATGGGTCTAATCTTGGTAGTAGCACATCTTAATCAACTGACGGTTACTTTGTAGACTCCAAAACCAACTCTCTAACAGCATTTCCGGAAAACTCAGCAGCATACTGGCATTGTTTCCCCGGCTAATCCTCATTTCACGCATCAGAACACAACTGTCATTTGGTCTCTGTTATGTTCACATCCTCTCGAATTCAGAGAGTTGTCTGTTTACTTTTCCAGCTTTTATCCGTTCTATTTCTCATTTTTTAGTGTTATGCTTATATATAAATGGTTGTGTTGGTTTTTGTTTCAAGAGAGGTAACAAACATGTTCGCCTACTCATCAAAGTTGCCTTTCAACTTTTAATTTTGTTTCCAGCTTTTATTCGTTCTATTTCTCATTTTTTAGTGTTATGCTTATATATAAATGGTTGTGTTGGTTTTTGTTTCAAGAGAGGTTACAAACATGTTCGCCGACTCATCAAAGTTGTCTTTAAACTTTTAATTTTGAAGTGGTACTTATTCTGATTTTTTCCTCTTTATGATCCTTGACTTTTATTGTTGTTCACTTGTGTGTTTACTAACTTTCAATTAATAATTATGAATGTCTTTAAAGTTTAAGTGAAGGTAATTTTAATTTCTGAGCATTTATACCCGTGTATGCAAACTCACGAGTTGACTCGTAGCAGGTGAACGTCCCAAACTCTTAAAGCGTGCTGCAATTCAGGTGGGATCGGAGTAGGTGAACTCGGAAAACTCGCACGAGTTTATCAGCAGACTTGTTCTGAGTTTTATGTTGCATCCAGTGTTGTCTATGGCAGATGGCGGAGAGCCAAAATCCCGCCATAGCGGCACCGTTATAGCGGAAAAACCCGCAATATTGCCTGATATTTATCACTGTGGCGTGCCAAAAAACCGCCATGTATATCCACCATAGCGGCCATGGCGCCGCTATTTGATAACACTGGTTGCGGCGCTTTTTATTTAGGTTTAAGTAATTTTTTAAAATGAATGGGGATTTGGGTCGGTTCACTTAAAACCTATAATTAATTAATATTTAATAATATTAATTAAGCATTTATTGAGACATCTTTTCACACTCCTTTTAAATAAAACATTTAACGTGAATAATTATGATTCGGTATTACTTCTTCTTAAAAACCAGCGCCTTCCTCTTCTCTATAAATTGCTCTTCCTTACTATAAACCTTCCTCTTCTCTATAAATTCCTCTTTCTTACCATTGTTGTCGAGGCGGAAGCCGGTCCATGGCAGAGAGCCAAAATCCCTCCATACTGGCCAATTCGAGGCACTGTTATAGTGGATTATGGCGGAAAACCCCGCAATATCGGACAATATTTACGATTGCGGTGAGCCCAAAAACCGCCATGCATATCTGCCATAGTGCCGCAATGGCAGATATTTGATAACACTGATCCTTAATATAAATCATCCTCCCTCTTCCTTACTATATAATGTGCTCCCTCTTCCTCTTATAAATATATTTTTCACTAGTATTAGGATCTTACAATCTGTGCTACTATCCTCGAGTTATGATTTTTCAATCCTCTACCGATTCTGCACAGACTATTGATTTTTTAAACATTGTTTATACCTCTCCGCCCTGTTATGACAGAAAGAACATCGAACAAAATTGGTTCAAACTAATGCCCGGCCTAAGAGGGAAAATGGCTAAATAATAGATCCAGAAGATAAGCTGCCAGATGTGTCATTGGAAACTGAGACATAATTGAGTTAAGAGCAATGTTCTCAATCGCGGATCCCGGGAAATGGCGTAAATTTCGCTATGCTACAGTGCCACTATAACCATGAAGTGCCGCTATAACCACTACTTGACAACACTTTGTAATAAATAGCATTTATTGCAGAACAATAGCAATTTGTTCAAATTCATCTAAGCTAGAGGTCTGCTATAGCTGCAATTTGACAATTCAGGTAAGAGGTAAGAGACAGGCTTATGTGGCATTCATTTGGTCTAACGAGGACATTTACATGAACAGAAAGAACCAAGCTAACACTGCGACAAACTATACCGTAAACGCAACGGGTGGAGTTATTAACAGGGATATAAATAAAAATTCATTGGGTGAAGAAGTTGTATTCCACATAGACGACAGTTAAGGTGAAGACGACAAAAAAGAACAAGTTGGAAGAGAGGATTGCCTACTCGTTCTATTTCACCGATTTCTACATTTTTCAGTATATTTTAATCGTGATAAGAAAATGCACAAGCTTAGGGTGATTAGGATTCGTAATAGAAGGCGACAAACTGCCGCAGGGTTTATTTTTATATTATTTTTTGTATGAGAGGAAGATATTTTTACTTTTTCAGCATACAAGACTACTAAACTACTTCATAATAACTAAACCAGGCCTCGTCGGTTAAATTGATTAGGAAAACAGAGTCAGATTTTTATATTACATCCAACTAAATAAGAGTAGTATAAAAACTTGCACATAAAGAAGGAACCACAGTTCCAATTGAAAAACTGTAAAAGATAAGAAACAGAGAGATCCATACATTGCCAACAAAAACAGAACGAGCATCTGCCTCCTCCTTGTTCTCCTGAGAAGCAGCTGTAGCAGCAGGATCTACAAAAGCAATACAATCAATGAGTTGAAAAAACCAAGAGGATCACAAAACTTCAATTTGCTTCGGATCGCAACTCCGAAAACAATTTCGAATTTCAAAGCAAGAAGATTATTAATTATAACTCAAGCTATTATAAATTTCAGTATATCAACAATCATAAAATACGAGAGCGAAACTGAAAAGTTTCGAATTCTGCTAATTGAAGAATTTCACGTTCTGCAACAACGAGAACAACGATGATCGTGTTCACGACTATAGATATTTCAAAAGTAAAATGAATTAGAGAGGATTATGAAAACCTTGAGTGGAACCGATCTCCTTCTCGACTTTGGAATGCATATCGCGAAGAGCGGCGGCTTCGTCTTCCATTTCCTTCAAGCGCCGCCGCATCTCGTCGAGCTCCTTCATACCGCTGGCCTCATCGTCGGCGGCGGACATGTCGACGTCTCCTTCCATCTCTCCGACGTCGGGGATCTCTCCTCCGTAAACCTCATGCTCTTCCTCGTCCATCTTCCGATGCTACGCAATGAAATGCTATTGCGGTGTGAATTAGGTTATTGAAAATAAGTTCGTTTTCCTCTCTTTATATGTAGTAATTTTTCATGGAGTTCACTAGCTAAGAAAAATAGATATGTAATACCAACTTTATCCTTTTATAAAAAATATTATACATAATTGATTAAAGTAATTAACACGAAATGATAAAAAGTTATACAGTATATTTTAAAGTGTGTTTGTCAATTAAAAAGAATTGTATTGGGAAGCACAAAGTGGAAAGGATATGAAAGTTGTCAAACTTATTAAAAATATGGAAGTCCGAAAACACTAATTAGAGTGTACATGAGCAAGATTTACAAGAAAGAAGTATAAAGAATATCAAAAGTGTGACTCACGTGATATTGAAGACAACAATTCAATCTCAAGAGAAGTGAAGGAGGAAAATCCTACATAGATATGGTAAGAGGACAAGTTACTATGTTTATGGAAGACACGAAAAGGCCCAATGAAGGTTTAGGATAGTGGAGGAAGGCAAGATTAGAGATTATGACTGCACAGCCTTTGTGTTACTTGAAGTGGAAGAATAAAGAACCTATCGCTTATGAAGAAAAAGAGTAATTGTCAAATTTTTAGGGAGAAGAATTGGTTATAACTCACTAGAAATTTGATTGAAGCAGATGTAGGTTAGGAATGAATTATCAACATCATTGATCTGAGCAATAATTATTACCTAGTGGCATTTACACATGAGGATGACAAGAATGCAACACTTGCAGGTGGCTCGTGGAGTCCTAATGTTTACTCTGAGAGTGATACCGTTGAAGGTGTTGGGTGTGGACTCGAATTGCAGGATTGTCTATAGAGTATTATGATGCTAAGGTTTTCTCTTTTATTGGTAATAGGATAGGTCATTCTGTTAAAGTGGACAAACTTATCCAAATCTCTTCTAGTTATGTTCACTATAAAGAGAATGAGATATAAAATAGAATATGAATGGTTACATCTCCTTTGTCTTACGTGCAGAAGATTTAGCCATTATAAGGAGGATTGTCCAATAAAAGTGAAATGGAAAAAGGTAGTCAACAGATGGAGAATATGAAGTATGCAAAAGTGGGAACAACAGTTGAGTATGACAATAGTGGAAAGTGGATAAAGAATAGGACCCTTGGAAAGTGGTGCAGAAACAACAAAGAGGATTGAGGGGGCCTGAAGACTGAAAAAACACAATGCATATGACAGTTAATGATTGAAAATATTAAACGGATTGCGATTTGTTTCCCTTAGTGAAGAGATTCCAAAAAATCAATGCTCATTTTAATGAAAAATAGAGCAATAAAGTGAATAAGATGGCAAGTAAGAGAGATTGGTGGACGCAACAAAGAAAAATATGGTCATGTCTTTGAAAGGATTGGGTATTAATGATCAAATGATTGACGATAATGATGGGGATGTTTTAGCTAGGGAATTAACTATGGAGCATGTAATGATTTGTAATAAAGAACAAGATGCAATGATTGGTAATAATGGAAATAATGAAATGATTGAAAATAATGGTAAACATGTTGTGTGAAAAACAAAGTTTTTAGACCAATCGTTAGTTGGTTCAGTGGTGATTGGCGCTGGACTTGATAGGGAGGGTCGCGGTTCGATCCCCCACAACTACGATCGAGAGGGGGCTGGAACCACTTGATGCTAGAACTGACTCCCGAACCGGACTATACCGATGGTGATAAACAAAAAAGAAACAAAGTTTTTAGGAAGTTAGAAAAAAAATTTAAAAGGGTAATAGGTTGGCTACACATGGAGCAATATTATTTAAAGGGAAATCAAGTGGACCAAATAAAAAGGGAATTGAATGTATGATGGAAAAGGAAAAAAATAGAAGAATTATAGAACCTAGTTAATCACAAAATATCCTTATGGATAAGGAATAGAATAGTATAAAACGAAAAAGAAAAAATATGGGAAATTAAACACGGGGAAGAAAGCAGGAAGAATAAAGATACAAGTCGTGGGGTCCCTCTGCATGGGGAACTAAGAGATAGTCGCATTTTTAACTCGAACATGCCTCCAACTACCATAATGTGGTACGGTGGGAGAACTGACTTGAGTTTGCGTTTGTATTCGCACTTGTTCGGTTTAGCAAGAGTCGCCACCGATTTTTTATTTTATCCTAAAGGAAAGGTTAAAAAGCACAGGAAAAACCTTTTGAGATATTTCGTGGGTTCGGGGGGTAGATTATGAAAAGGGAAGGTATTAGCACCCTTTTCATCTATGGTTATCCATGGGCTCTTAGTTACTTGGTTTTTTAGATCACTTGCCTCGATTGCTTGAAATTGTGGTGTATGTGTGTGTTTTGAAAATGTTTTTGAAATAGACGCCTTCGTTTCGGCAACCAATGTAATTGACTCGTGTTTGAGTGTTTTACAAAAGTGTGTATCTTTTCGAAAAGATGTTTCAAATGTTTTTTGAGAGTTTGTTTTGAAAGTGTGTATGAAGTGTGATTTTTGAAAAGGAGGCAAGTGTTTTTGCAAGTTGATCTCAAGTAACTAAGAGTTTTGTCTACCCCTATTGTACTCAAAGGTTTTCTCTATGTTTTCAACCCCTTTTTAACAATTTTGTTCCACCATTGAATTTGGTGGACAATCTTGCGTTTAGGATGTTCAACGGGACGGGCGCGGGTCATCGTACGGACCATGAATGCAATGGTGCCAAGTGTCTTTAGCAATTTTGCTTGAAGGGACTTGATCATTTTGATAGGCGACTTTCGAAAGCGTCATCGAGGGACTTATGATCATTCGAATTTGTTTTGCCAAAGAAACTCGACGTGCAAGCATGGTCCATTTTGGAAGGCAATGTGTGGGATTACCCTAGGGGGTGCAAGTGTGATTGTGTATTGATTTCATGCATTTGTCTTTGTATTAGGTTATCTAGCGTTCGATTTTATGTACATACAAACCCTAGGTCTAACCATGGTACAATTCGAAAGCGATAAATTGCAAGAATTTAAAGTCTACGCTATTACAGATAGTATCCGGGAGTGGGGGCATAAATGTACAAATGGGGATGAGACTTAAGTAATTACAACCAAATCGAATTGCAATCAAATATATATGTATCACGTATAGCAATGTATAAGAAAAGCAATTGTGTATATGTGAAGCAAAGTAAATGTATGGTGTAAGTGTAATGAGAATTACTTACAAGTGCGAGATGTGAATTTAAACGTATTTTTAAGTGTTGTTAATTTAATAAGAGGAATTAAATATTTTCTTTATTTAATCTTTGTAATCTTGTTTTTTTCTTTAATATGCACAAAAAGGGTATTTTGATTAAAAGAAAGGAAAATTGTTTTATATCCTATTTTTTTAGATATTAAAACTAATGCATTTTAAACGATTATGTACAAAGTTTAAACTAAAAAAAAAATGTTTTAAGTCTAAAAATAATATTTCTATTTTAATCAATGTATTATATACAAAATGTTTTAGTTAAAAAGAAAATTGTTTTAAACTTAAGAACAATTATTTATCTCAAAAAAAAAATCCTATTCCTTTATATATTTTAAATTATACTAGCTAGAAATAAAAAGGGTTACAATGTTTTTATTTACAAAAGAAACAATTTGTATTATAATAATAGTATAAAAAATTTTAAAGTAAAATGTATATTAATTTGTTTTAAAAAGGATGTGATTTATGTATAAAAGAGATTAATTTTAGAAAAAGGGAAAAAAAAATGGGCTAAGGGGGGTTTGTCTTGGCCCAGTCCTGATTAAACAAGAAACAAGGGGGGTGTTAAAGTGGTTCGTTTGGGGCTTATGCATCTTTGTGGGGCGACCCGGCCCATAGCATTTTACACGTTTCTTTTGAGTTGGTTCATTTGGGATTTAGGGTTTGTAACATGCAGAGGCGTCGTTCACTTGCTCTTCGTCTTCTTCGTTCGTTCTCACGCCTTCGCCTCTGAACGCCTTTCTGTCTATGACCGGCCATCGCCACCGTCCCTACTTCCTTCCTCCATGGATGGATCAAACCAAAACGCGAAAAGAGTAACGACCTGGAACGTTTTTTATGTTTTTGATTTTCGATTTTGCATGTTCTGATTTCCAATGCGTTCTGATCTTAAATGTTTTTGTTGTTTCTGTTTGAGGTATGAAAGGGAAGGGAAGAGAATATATTACCTTGACCCTTGGAGACGGAGGATAAAGAGGATTGGGAGGCGCTGTGGACGGCCAAACGGAGGGATATGCGTGAGGTTGAGCTCGCTTGCTTCGTTGGAGAACCTGGTACTCTGGTATTTGTGTCTTACTTCTTTTTGTTTGGTGATGAAATTCTGAAAACAAATCTTTATCCTCTTCACTTTTGCTCGTTTCGGTTGCCTTGTATGCTTCTGTATGTTTAGTTACCTTGATGATTTTTGATGATGAACCCCTTTTGGTTCTGAGAACCTCGCTTGAACTGGATCCTGTTTCACTTCTTTTCCTCTTCCTTCTGGTTGCCTCGATGTATGCTTAGTATGCTGTATGATTTTGAATCTGTATGCTTACGAGATATGTGCCCAGTGATGAGGTTTTCTGAGGGCTTTTTGTTGCCTTGAATGCTTAGGCTTGACAGTTTGACATGGCTGATGTTTGGACGTGAGGTTTGGACTTCTGTTTGTTTATCAGTTTTAGGACTTTTTTGGCCCTTTGGCTTGGATACAGGTTGAGGGTTTTTACTGGTTTTTACTTGTCATGGCTGTTGGTTTAAGGTTATGGCTTAGCAGGTTGTGTGTTTACTGGTTTTTACTTATCATGGCTGTTGGTTTAAGGTTATGCTGGTTATTGAGGCTTGACAGGGTTTCACAGGTTTTAGGCTTATGCTGATGTAGGTTTTTTGAGGGTTCAGGTTTGTTAATGGTTTTGACAGGGGTTTAAGGCTCAAGTGTTGATGTAGGTAAGGCTTGACATGGTTTACTGGTTTTATGTGTTTGATGCCTAAGCTTGCAACCTTGGTCTGAACACTTTTAACAAG